TATTTCCCCTCCAAAAAGTCTTTTGGGAGCAGGGCTCCCATCCACGTTGCTCCAGGGCAGGTTGCACAAGCCTGAAGGGTGAGGAGGGGCTGGGAGGAGAGAACTGTGTTGTCTTTGCGCCCTTCAGCCTCTCTGCTGGGACCTTGCTGCCTCAGATAGTCTCGAGCTCCTTTGCCACCTGTGCTTTGGTGCTCAGGGACCCCCAGGGTGCTCATCTGTGTAAGCAGAGATGTGGAGGGCAGGTCCTTGCTGAGGGCTGGCTCGGTTGGGGTTGAGGAGATGGTAGAGCCACGGGGCTGAGCAGAGGCCCCTGACCAGTTTGCTTTCGCCTGGGATGTTGCATAGCAATGCCAAAAGCTCATGGGGGAACTCTCCCTTTTAAGAGTTGTTTTGTTTTTTTTTCTCCCAGAGCAAGCAATCTTGGCAGTGGCTGAAAACCCTTCCTGTGCAAAGCTGGATTTGCTCAAGATGTAGTTTGAGGTTTGGTTTCTTTTGGAAGATGGGGTTTGCTTCTACTTTTCAGAAGGTGGGGCAGACTGTGCTCTCTGCTGTGATGGGTGAAAGCCAGCAACAAATGGGATGACTGTGGGCAGGGGAAAGCGCAGCTGCCCTAACCCCAGGCACCCAAATGAGGTGAAGGGAGCTCATGGGGGCCATATAGCCAGATACGGGATCTGGACTGCAGCCCATCCCCTATGCTTGCCTAATTGCTTTTGGGTCTTTGCAGTCTGTTTCCCCTAAAAGCCAACACTGATTGTGGGGTCGCCTCCTTCATCCTCAACTGCTTCCTCCATAGCATTTTTATCCTGCTGTGGTAGTGATTCTGCCTTATCCCCATCCATCCCCAGGCTCCTTACAGCGCGCAAGGTCAGTATCTGGTCAACACTTGTCTGTCTGGGAGGTTTCTAAGTCACTGTGGATATTGCCGATTGCTGCTGTGCTCTTTTAGGTAGAGTCTAACTTTTACCAAGCCCAGTGCAGCCAGGGTAAACTTCCCATTCTGCATTTTTGGTGGTGTTTTTCTGGAAAGCTTTGGCCCAAAGCGGCTGAGCAGCGCCCCAAAAGGGTGCCTGCAAAGGGATCTAAGGAGGCACGAGGAAGGAGAATGGGTATGGAGGCATGCAATTAAAGATGGTCATCACCTGCATGAAAACCAAAGCAACCTGACCTCTAGCCTTGTGGTCTGGAGTTGGAGATGGTGGTACCCTGCCTGGGTATGTTGAGAGGTGGCCCTGCAGCTCAGGTGCTGGCGGTACCCAGGCTGTGCCAAGGGCTAGGGGTCAATAGTGTTTAATCCCCATGGCCCTGGTGTGACACTTTAGCTCACCAGGTGAGGTGCATGGGCACATGCACTGCCTGGCTTGGAGGAGGCAAATCCTCTGCTCCTTGTAGGTACTTGCAGGGACCCACCCTCTGTGCTACCCAAGAAGCTTATTTCCCCCTCACTTCCCATCTGGTGTCATCCCCAGGAAAGTAGGGTAAGGTGATCTTTCTCCCCTATGGATTTGGCTTCCCTGGTGTGCTTTCTAATGGCAATGCTGTCTTTGTAAAGGATTCTCTGATCCTCTTCCTTTACCCTGCCTTGCATGGTTAATAGCCCTGCTGTATGTCTGGTTGCACTGATTTCCCAGGGAGGAAGAGAGTAAGTTTTAGACTGCGTGGTCCCAGGAAGAGGGAGCTGTTGGTTTTGTCCACAGAGCCTCATCATTGCCTGCGATAGGGCTGGGCCAGGCAATCCTGTTCTCCCTGGTTTCTCTATTGCAAATGTAAACAGCGACTTATGCATCATTAGAGTTGCAAGCTTGGAGTTAAACTGTCCCCATGTGTGTGGTTATCTGCACACTGACTGTCGGAAGCTCACTGAGGTTGAACTCCAAGTTTCCTTTCAATTTTCTCTGTCGCTGTAGCAGACGTGCTTTTCCCTCCCCCAAAGTGGTAAGCAGGTTGGCTTACTCTCAGCAGCAGCATCCCTGGGGCACTGCTGGCAGCGGGTTGCTCTTGGAAAGCAAACCCCTTCATCCCTTTCCTTCTGAGATGGGACGGTTTCATCCTGCAGCAGGGAACAGAAGCCTACCACGAGGTTACGGCTATGTGCATGGCTGTGTCCCTACAGTTGTGGGACGTGGGACCTCCTCACCAACAGGTGTGTTGGGGCACTTCACTGCTTGCCAGCCTCTGCCCTATCTGCTCACCTCCTCTGTGGAGGCAGCGTGCAGGTGTCAGCCCTGCGTTGCACCCTCTTCTCCCAAAACAAGTGCTGCTCCTCTGGTCTGTTTCATTGCAAAAATGGTAGGTGGCAGGGGACAGGTGAAATCCTGCAGGGACCTCTCTGCCTGCTGTAACAGCCTGGCCCCTCAGCCGGCCTGCATTTGGCTCTTTGGAGAGCTGTGTGGTGCTGCAGGAGCTGCGCACGCAGCCTGACGAGGAGCCGGCTAATGGAGGCGCGAGCCTTGCAGCGAGGAGCATCTGCCTCTATCTCCTGGCCCCTCAGGCTGTCATATGAATCAGTTTATTAAACTGGGGAAGGAGGGACCTCGTGTTTGTTTTGGTTCATTACATGAATCTCCTTTCCTCTAGGAGTCCCCTGGGATCAAGCAAAAGGACTTGTTTTACGTTTGGCTTTTGCTTATGAATCCCTGAGCTAATTTAGCCGTTCAGTTGATGCCTTGGCAGCACTGCGGGAGCACTGTGGCTCAGGGGTAAATGCTTTGTGCCACCATCCTTCCTGGGGGAAAAACAAAATCAAAACAAAACCCAAAACACCAAACACCCCCCCAAAAAAACCCTCAGACAAAGCCTTTCAGAAGAGTGTCTCTGGTTTGAGCCCTTACTAAAGTTCAGTTGCATGTCCAAGAGGTTGGGTTTCCCCTGCCTGGGATGTGCCCCTGTCAGCCTCCTACTATGTCCCTGGCACCTGCTGGCAGGAGCAGCAGCGTGCCCCAGGCCATGTGGTGCCAAGGACATGATGCCATGCAGCAGTTGATGCCGCTGCAGCGCTTGCCTCTGGGGCTGTGGTCAGCAGTCATCCGGCCTCAGCCCTCCCAGTGCAGCTCCTTGTGAGCGGTACTGGTCCAGGGTGCCCTGCATCCAAGTACCTGCCCATGGGATGTGCCTACAGGAGAGCATTCCTGGACCATTTCTGGCTGTGTGGTGATCTGCCCGGGCTGGCAGTTATGATGGAGGGTCTCCTGCTTGGTGTAGGCGATGGGCTGGTGTGGATGCTGTGGGAGAGACACCCCACTTTGGGTGCCCCATGGCACCCCGAGGCAGAGCTTGGTCAGCCATCCTCAGGGAGGACTGTGGCAACCCAACTTCTACCTGAGGCATCATTCTGCTATCTGCAGCTATGGAAAATAAATAGCCGAGGGCAGCTTCAGCCTTAAAAATCTGCCCCCGTCCCTCCCTGGGGTCTGGCCCCTTGCCCCCTCGGTTAGCGGGGAGCAAGCTCCTCCATGCAACAAAGTGGAAGTCACGAGGCGGAGGGTTAGCCTGCGCGCTGCTGTGGGACATCAAAGCCAACAGGCGGTAGTTTTGGGCACCTGGCACGCACACAGTGGCAGGAGGGGCCTGGGGCATCACCCTTGCAGTGTGGGGCTGGGGTGCCGGCTGTCACCTCCCAGGCCCGTGTTACTCTGCTGTTGCACCCCGCTCCCCAACCTCTCCCCACTATTTCTCAGCAGAGGAAACCACCGCTGTTTGGCAGCTTCCTCCCAGACGCTTTCAAAATAGCAAGGTGGCTGTCACCATTGCCTATAAGAGCCTTCCACCACCCCTCTGGGAGAGAACCCAAACAGAGCTGTTTCCCATGGGGCTGGAACAGTGCCTGGTGGCTGCCTTCCTCCTCCTCCTTGGTGAGTGCCCTGCATCGTGGTGGGGACTTTCCTGGGGCGGGTGAGGGGGAAGTAAAGCACCCCCTTGGTGCGGATGGGACCTTTGCAGGTGGGTCGCTCAGCGGGCCACCTTGCTGGGGCTGCAGGGCCAGGATGGCACTGCCGTGGCCACCACTGCTCTGGCTTGGTGGCTGCAGGAAGAGGTGCGGTGGCATGTTCCCCTTTCGGCACTGTGATTTCACTACAAAGCGATAGCCCAGACCCTGGCAGGGTTTCACTGAGGGGACTGGGGGTACGGAGGGGGTTACCTCACTGTCCCTTCACTTAGGAGGGATTTTCTGAGGGTTTCTTCAGTTGTGGTGCCACTAGCTCTCTTCACTGGCCCAGTCTCCATGGTCGGTTTTTGACTCAGTGCCCACGTCCTGTGGGCATTTTCCTCCGTGGGCATGATGGGCACCAAAATAGAGCGAGTGTCACCACTGGGAACTCTGCAGGAGGGGAGGGTGCACAGATGGCCATCATCTCCCAAAACCCTCTGCAGGCAGAAATGGGGGGAGCCCTTGATCCTTCCTAGTGCCCTTGCCTTCGGAGGAGCTCTTCCTGGCCCCCTCTCCCACACCCTCCCCGGTTTCTGTCCATGGAGCACCTCTGCAGCACCCAGCCTGCCAGTTCCGTCCCACGCCCCTTGGCTTCTGTGTTGCATCTCCTTCTCTGGCAGTGGTCAGCTCTGGCACCTGCTCCCTTTCCCTCCTAGCTTGTGCAGGATTTGAGTGCTTGGTCCTCTTGATTTTTTTTAACACACTGCAAGCTTCCTCCAGTGATCTCAACCTGGTTGCTGCTCCCTTTGAACAGCTGATTGAGAGATGCTCTCCAGCCATGTACAGGCTTGATAGCTCTCTGGCCGTGATGCTCTGGTCTCCATCGTGTGACCCACTGTGCTAGGAGACAAGAAAGTTCCGAGGTCTGCTGTTACAGGAACTTTTTCTTACAGTTGCAAGGGGTGTGAAGTCCTTTGGACTTCGTGCTTCAAAGAATGAGACTGCAGAGTAGTTCTTTTCAGTATTCAATTACGGTCCTGTGCACACCCAGACCCACTGCTGTTTTGGGTGTGCAGCCCTCCGGTAGCATATACCCCTGCAAGCACAGTGTGTGCTGACTGTTTGCCTGCAGGTTTGAGCATTGGCCAACGGGTGGTGACTGTTCAGAAGGGACCCCTCTACCGCACAGAGGGGTCCCACGTCACGCTGTGGTGCAAGGTAAGCGGCTACCAGGGCCCGGCAGAGCAGAACTTCCAGTGGTCCATCTACCTGCCCTCGGCCCCCGAGCGGGAGGTGCAGATCGTCAGCACTGTCGACCCCTCCTTCCCCTACGCCATCTACACCCAGCGCGTGCGCAGCCGGGGCATCTACGTGGAGCGGGTGCAGGGGGATGCCGTCCTGCTGCACATCACCGAGCTGCAGGCGCAGGATGCTGGGGAGTACGAGTGCCACACGCCCAACACCGATGAGAGGTACTTTGGGAGTTACAGTGCCAAGACGAACCTCTCAGGTGAGTGCTGAAGGAGAGCCCCGTTCCCTGCCAGGCAGGGGTGCGGGCAGGCTCCCACTGCCCCCTGTCTTTGCGCTGGGTAGAACTGCTCACCTCCTGGTCCCTGACAGAGGGGCAGCTGGGAAAGGGGAGATTAATGGGACTGGTAGGCGCAAATTTTTCTACTCCTCACTGTGGGATTGCTACCCTACCCCCTGGGTGGCTGAGGTTGGGATGCCCAGAGGTCCCTCAGCAGGATACTGTGGCCATTGCCTCCGAGCCAGGGCAAGGGAAGGGAGAGGAAGCCTTTGCTGTCCCATGGCCTGACTTGAACTTCTGTTTCTGAAGCAGCCACAGTATTTCACAGCCCAAAGCTTAGGAGAGCAGGAGTTTTCAGGCTCTGTACATTAACTATTGATGTCCTCTCAAGTCAGGGTATAGAACTTGACACAAGTGGGATGCCCCCAGAAAGAGGGAGTGAGTACCTCCTGCAGAGCACTGGGAGAGGGAATGCAATGGCGGGGAGAGGCAAAGGGAAAGAAAGGCACTGCTGTGAGCCCACCAAGTCTACACAGTGGTACGGTGCTTCCATCTGGTATTCATCCCTGTTTCCACCTTTATCTTGGTGGTGTGCCAGCCTGTGCTTGGGATCATGAGGGGCTGCTTGCTAATCTCTTTGGGGTTGCCTAGTTAATACTGCCTGTAGTTTTTCTGAAGAGGGTACTGCAGAGAGATTCACTGTGCTTTCTTCCCTGCTGAGGTTTTAACCATTTCACATCTCGGTGTAGGCTGATGGAAGCCTTGTCAATCAGCTACAAAAGATATTTCTCCTACACTGTCAGATCCCTCAGGACCTGGCTGCGGTTTTGTAGGGACCAGCAGGTTGCCCATCAAGGCCAAGAAATTATTTTTCCCATGACCCGCTGCTCTCTGTGTTTCTCCCCTGTGCTCAGTGATCGCAGACACCCTCTCGGCTTCAATGGTGCCCCAGGTCCTCACCCATGCTGAAGGGGAGACGATGGAGCTCACCTGTGAGGTGTCCAAGTCCACCACCCAGCACACGCATCTCTCCGTTAGCTGGTACCGTCTTCAGGGAGCAGGAGAGAGCCACGCCGAGGAGGTCCTCGCCCTCTCCAAGGACTTTGTCTTGAGGCCGGGGCCCTCTTACGCGCAGAGGTTTCTGGCTGGGAACGTGCGGCTGAACAAGGTTGGGAACACCACGTACAAGCTCTCCATCGGGGGACTGGAGCCGTCTGACGGGGGGCAGCTGTACTGCGAGGCAGCCGAGTGGATTGAGGATCCGGATGAGATGTGGAAGGACATCTCCCGCAAGCAAACAGGGAGGACGTCACTGGCAGTCATGAGCCAGGGTAAGGCCCTTGCAAACTCCCATGTTGGCTCCAACTCCTTTGTGCATTCAAGGCTCTATAGCAGCAGCCTTTGCCCGTTGCCTCCGCCACAGCCCAGGGACCCACTGGTGGGTCTGGCTGCCTCCACCAGGCACTGAGGAGGGCAGGGTTGGTCCTTGGGGCCATGGAAGCCCCTGGTTTGGGAGCTGTTGGTGCTTCTCACTTTGGAGGTTCCATACAGCTGAATCTCTGATGCTAGCAGCAATCGTGCAACCTCGCAGGCCCATGTGAGATGTTAGCAGAGAGCGCGGTGTGTGCCTGCAGCAGCCTGGCTCCTTGGCAGCGTTAAGCTTCAGTGCTTGGAAAACCCCGTTACTGGCTGTCTTGAGGGACTCGTGGCCTCAAAAACTGGAGCACACAATAGTCAGCTGCCCATCATGGTGCCTGGGTACAGGCACCAAGGGACACGGGGATGTGCTGCGTGTGCTGCATGGCTCTAGTGGTCTGCTGGAGGTGGCTTGTCTGTCAGTGCTGTCACCAGTGTGCTGGCTTCCAGAGCAACTGGTGTTGCTGGTTATTAGACCATCCCTGTGTCTCCTCCTAATAGTTCGTATATGGCAGTAATGGGACTGTGGGTCACACTGGGCTTTGAAGCGCGTGTACCAAGCTCCTGGCCTTATGCTCTAAGAAAATGTAGTATTAGGTATTTATAAAGAGGGGACTTAGACCTGGTAGCATGTATGAGATAGATTAAAATAGGAAAGTTTGAAAACCAGCCCCTTGCCAGTGCTGCCCATCCTCCCCCACTCCACTCTGCCTCTGCCAAGCATCTCCTGTTCCCTCTGCCCGGCAACTTCCCATGGCTCCTGGCACCTGTAAGCTCTGCACTGCCTCTCCCAGGGCCGGTGGGAAAATCCGTCTCTCCCCACTGCCCTGGGATGGTTACAGCGCTGCGTGTTTGCTGCCACTCCTCTGAGCACCCTGCCTGCCATCCCTCCTGCCACCAGCCCTTTGCTGGCTGCGGTCCCTCATCCTGCTCTTCCCCCAGCTGTGTGTGGGCAGCTGTGCTCAGAAGCAGCAGAAGTCTCCTTCCCACCAGTCAGTTTTGCCTCAAAGCCGACCAGACAAGGCTGCGTCTAGTTGATGCCCTTTAACGTATGCAGTAGCATGTAGTAAAATAGGAGCAAGTCTCTCACTGAAAACCTGCCTGGAGAGGTGGTGTACCCCGTCCGCACGCCTCGGGGTGGATGGAAGAGGCCACAGAGCCGGGGCAGTGAAGGCAACCTGCGTCTCGTGGGAGGGCGGTGAGTCAGAGCAGGAAACCAAAGAAACAGATGGGTAAGGACCATGCACCCCATGTGTGGCTCAGGGGAGCAAGGTATCAGGGGGAGGGGGAGGGAAGTGCAGTCTCCCACTGTCAGAGCATGGTTCCCGAAACCTGCCTGACTGGCAAAGCTTTATTCCCCTTGTTATGCACTGTTTGCAGCAACGGCTTTCCGTGTCTGCTGTTGCCTGGTGAGTGATGGCAGTCGGTGCGCTTTCCTGCATCTGCTTGTTTAAGAAGGTTCGTCATGACCGATAGTGTGTGGCTTTGGGTACCAGTGGCACAGGAACATTTAGAAACAGAGGAAATCTGTTGGAGTTTAATATTTACCCTGTGGTAGCTGTTAAGGGTAGAAGGGAGGCGATGGTGGTAAGGGAACAATATGGTGGGTGTATTAGACCTGCCGGTATTGCTAGGGGGAAACAGCGGCGGGCGTATGAGCCCTGCATCACGTCTGCAGGGCTGGGGGGTCCCTCCAGCACCCAGCAAGAGAGCCTGGGCTGTGGGGCTGAGTGCCTCATCACACCCGGGAGCTGGTGACCACTCTGATAGCGGCCAACCGCTCCATCGGTTTCTATAAACTCTCCATCAAATATTTGGGAATGCCAAACGTATCTGCAGTGGCTGGGATTCCTTTTCGCAAACTGTTTATGAACCAATGTTTAAATTCACAGGGTACTCTGCTTTCAATAAATTATTTGAGCCCTTCCAGTGGCGATCTGGGAGCTGCTCTGTTTTACCTCCAAACTTGCCCTTGTTGTTAGACACGGGGGGCACCGCAGTGACTCAAGGAGATGGAGTAGCGTGAGTCAGGCTGCCTGCCCAGGGAGTCGGGGCTCAGCTGTACCTCCTGATTTTTGGCCATGCCAGTGCTGTGTGGGGTCACAGCACAGGGTTTTGGGGCACCCTAGGGGTCTCTGCCTGCAGCCACTCTCCAACCAGGCTGATGCCAGGAACCAGGGGGCATTAGTGGCAGAGGCTTTGAATGCCCTACAAGGAAGGTGAATCATATCATATGACCCAGAGGTAGGGTCCTTACCTCAGATCCGGCTGACTGCCCAAGAGGGTCTGCCAAGGGGAAGATGACTTTGTGCACCCTCTGTCACTACCCTCTTTGCTCAGCACCTGCTACTAGTCACTATAGGGGGCAGGACAGGGACTAGGAGATGACCTCCACCTCTTCTTGCTTCCCTCTGACTTCCCCATGCTGTGACAAGTCTTGACATTTCTCGTTTCTTTAGGAACTAACACAAACCCCCTCCAACTTGGAGAGCATCTCTTGCCCGCATCCCACAGCAGCCAGTGAGGGCTGCAGCATGCATGACCAGCAGCATCAGATTCAGACAAGCAACCTGAATGCTGGTCCTCCACACACCTTCTCCCACTACAGACAGCAGAGTTAAAAAAACCACTGAGTGATAAAGCCCCTTTGTGCCCCTTTCTGGTTTAAGGGATATTTGTTACATGGAGCAGAACAGCTCCAGGAGCTGCCTTCAGTTTGGATGTCTGACCTGAGCAGGGGGTGGCTGTGGCCCGAGGCTGTCCTGGTGGGCACTCTGCTCTGGGGGGGTAGCTGCTCCGAAGAGGGGAAGCTCAGCTCCTTGGGGCTTTCATGCTTCCTCCACCTGCAACTGCTGGTTAGTGCCTGGAACTGGCAACTGTCACCCCATGGGCAAAGTTTTCCATCGTGATCACTTTTCTAATGAAAGAAAATATGTCAATAGAGAATTCTCTCCTGTTTCCCTCTGCACAGCCATCGGTGCTGCCAGGCGGGAGGGAAGAGTGCCACTCAGCACCTACTTTGCTTTTGATTGCCCACAGGCAGAGAACTTTCCGTGAACATCACTGCTGCTGAAAACTCCCTTTCTGAAGGTGATACCTTACAGCTAAATTGCATGGTGGGAGTCCAGAAGAGCAGCAGCAGGCACTTCCAAGTGCTTTGGCTCCTCAATGGCGTGGAAGTGGCCAGGGTTGACCCCCACGGGGTATTGATTTGGGAGGACGAATATGAGGAGAGAGCCAAGATGGGGCAGCTCCGAGCATTCAAGCACAGCAACACAGTTTATGTCCTCACCATCTATAAGGTGGGGCTGAAGGATGACGGTACGTACCAGTGCTCTGTTTCAGAGATGAAGACTCCTGGAGACTTTCACAGCATCCAAACCAATCTGTCATCAGGCATCCAAGTCAACGTGAAACCTATAGGTTAGTAAATCCTAATGGCTGCTCTTCTGGGTAAAGCCTGCAGTGCTTCCTGACTGGGGAATGCTTCGAGTCTGACCTCATCTTGGTAGGGGCAACACACCTGCTGTTTGCAGCAAGAGCACAAATGTGCCGTAAATATTGGTAGATAATAATGGGAAAAACACTTGCTCTGGCAAACGTTAACGTGACAGATGTAGCAGCTGTCAACAAAGTGTAAATCTTTAGCTCAGTCTCTTTGCAATAAATTTTGGGGCAAATAGGTAGAGTTATGGGGAGGTTGGGTCCTTCTGTGTCTTTGGTACAGAAAATTGTGAGCAATGCCTGTAGCTACTCCTAAGGATCACAGGATGACCCAGCAGAACAGGTACTTCTGGATGGGGGTGATCACTGCTATTTCCATCAGTGTGCTCTCCCTGTTTTGGAGGAATGACTTGTGAAAAACCACTCTAAGATGTTTAGGAGACTCTTGGTTTCCTTGTCATAGTTAGAGATGATGACTGTTCTGATGTAGCATGAGCTGCCTGTTGGGACTCTGTTTCTTAAGTATTTCTTTATGTATCTGTGTCCCAGAAAATATATTAAAGAAGAAGAAGAAAAAAAAAATCCAACCACAAAGACCTCTCCAAGGTATAAGAGAAGGCTGGTTGAAAGTTTCAGAAAATTCCTTTCCTTTTCCAATGTCAAGATTTATCTAGTCTCTCTATTTAATGCCACAGTATCTCTGGCTTTCTCTGAGGAGCACAACAATCTCCTCTCCCATGCTGTTACTGTTGTCTGCAGAGAGCCACATGCGCCTGTCCATGTCCACCAGCACGCCACAGGTCGTGGCAGGAGATGCCTTGATCCTCCTTTGCGAGGTGCAAGGAGCGACCAGCCCTGTGTCCGTGCAGTGGTGGCACCAGCCACCGCAGCACTCAGGTCCACGAGTGCTGGTGGCCACCATGGAGCAGGACGGCACCCTGAGCCTGGGCAGCACCTACCAGGATGGCAGGACTCGGGGAAACCTCCGGCTGGAGAAAAAGAGCTCTGGCACTTTCACCCTGGTGATTCCCAACACGCTGGATGAGGGCGATGGCGGGCGGTATGGGTGCAAAGCAACGGAGTCATCCCAAGACCAGAGCTGGACAGAGGAGGGGGAGACAGCAGTGACAGTCAGCTCCATGGGTGAGTTGGGCCACCCTTATTTCTGGGCTTTCAAGCTGGACACACTGGAGGCAAGACTGGAGAAACGGGTGGATGCATGTGGGTAGGACAGAGGTCTGCTGTGCCCTGAGCTCCGCTGCTGCTGCATGGTGATGTGGGGCTGATCACTTGGCCCTGGAGTGCTTCAGTTTCCCCATTTCTAGCAGGGTGCTTGAGTCCCCGTGAGATGTTTTGGGAGAGACAAGTGGGATACAACAGCTAAAATAGCCTGAAAGGCAGTGGCTTGCTCAGCAGGTCTTTCTGACAGTCTCCTTAACTTGAAGCACAAAATATCTGTTCTAGCAGCATAATTACTTACAGTAATTAAGCTCAACAAAGGCACTTGCTGAGTTGTATGGTGGCCTTTGTCAGAGATACACTCCTGGTGCTGGCATCTGATTGCTTCTCCTGCTCTCCTGTCTGAACACAGAGCTGCTAACCTCCCCAGCACTCAATGCCCACACCGATTCTTCTTTTGATTGCTGGAATGGGTGTCTTTCTGGAGAGGCAGCTTTTGGCTGTGATTTAGGGTCCGTCCTTATTGCTGGGCCGGGTGCCTGAGAGCACCAGTCGGGCCCCAGGAGTTGTTAGGCTTTTGTGGAGGGTGGAAAGAAGCAGCAAACAGGGCAGCAGCATCAGCAGAGGATCCCTGGGGAGACTGGAAGAGAGGAAACTCGGGGTTGCCTGGGGGGCCAGGTAGGAGAGGGCCAGGGGCTGCGTGGGGCTGGCAGAGCACAGCACAACTCGGGGAAG